TAAATACCACCAGTGGGTCACCACCACTTATACAGTCGCCTAAAGAGCTGAGATCTTGAAAAATGTTACCTTTCACAAATGCAGATGCAGAAAAAGGACATCCCTTTATTTATTGAGGAAGTTTTAAGGTTTTTACATATATACACAATGCTTACACACAAAGTCAGCGTTATTAAAATGCACTTTCATGGAGTCAAATTTGCAAAAAAAAATGCGTAAAACAAATTAGAACTCTCTAAAAGCTCATACAATTTATACCTCTAGTTTTGAAAATGTAAAGGTGAAACATACAGCATAATGAGTTGTAAAAAATAATGCTGATTTTAAATGGTGAGAAAAAAAAAACTTTAAAAAAGGAAAAAGAAAAACAAAACCTTCCCAAAGAAACTAAAAAGAAAATTCAACATAGGAAAAAGTGTATTACAGGGATAAATTATGGGCTACCAACTTACAGGAGGTAGCCTGTAAGAGCTGGCCGACTTCCACGATCATTAACTCTATTCTGAAGTCTTGCATGGAGATGAGTAACTGTTTCTTTTCTTTTAGGTCATGGCTCTTCTTGAAGAATACATTCACATTGATTTTCTACATGAGGCTGCTCTTTTTGAAACTCTAATTTGATTCAATATACACTGACATGAGCATTTCCTATTAAATTTCCCATCTTCTGTGTCATGCTTCTTTGTTGTTTTGGGTACAGGGAAATCCATTGCTCATGCACTCATATACAGACCACATATCAGGCTGAAACAATACTGGTGATAAAACAGCAACATCACTGTGTGCTTTCTTATCCTACTGTGCACATAGTTATTTCAGAGTCAGTAACTTTGCTGGCTTCATCAGGAAAATTCAGCTGTAATTCATTAAGAGCTCCTAGAATTTCATCAGCTGAAAGGAATGCCAATGCAGACAAATAATGCATTTTGAACTGAAGTTTTCCGTGTTACCATATTCCACAGGCAATCCACTCACCTGAATTTTCCGGCAAATGTATTGGAGTGAATGAAAAAAGAAATTGTTGGTAACACCTTGAAATCCACCTTCAGAAGTTTTGATGGCACCTAATTCCAAATCTATCATTATGGTTTGGGAATTCAGTTAGATGTGAGGGAGTTTGTTCTTTGTTCTTTGTATTTCAAAGGGGATTTCAACATTCAGGATCATGGCATTTGGGATTGTGTCTTTAAGGATTATAATCAGCATTATGCAAGGTGTATGCTGGGGAACTATAGAAAATAAGCCTGAAGAAGTAGGTTGGGATTACATTTATGTGCAACACTGACCTTTGTTCTATAAGGTGAGGAGGAGTCAATAAAGATTATTAGAACAGGAATTGACATGATCAGATTTGATATTTAAGAACTACATCTGACACCAGTAGCTGAAGAACTGGTGACCTTACAAGCTAATTAGAAGAATTGGAACAATCTAGATGAAAAATGACAAGTGTCTAAATGAAGGCAGTAACCTTGGGTCAAGGAGGCAAGTATGAACTTGTGTGCCTTTGAAGCGGTGGTATGCCTCCCCTAGGGGCGACAGTTGACATTCAAACTTGACATTCAAAGCTGAGTTTTGAAGACACCTGAAGTAGACTGGTATATTCAAGAGTATTTTTATTCAACATGTAGAAATTTATTAGTCTTATCTGGAAGTTAATTATTCATGTTACTTGTAAAATGTTTAACATGTGTTAATAAATTATTCTCACATTAGTAATTATATGTGCTATAGTACTCCAACTAGTACATTAAATATATTGCCTCAGACTGTAGTTTGATAGGTTTCTTAAAACAGTGATACAATTACATAAATTTCCATATATATTAATGCAATACTGTTTATAAAAGCAATATTACCCATTAATCCAATTCTGCAAAGATTTATGAAGATGCTCCCGAAAAATTTTAATGTGATACCTTGAGTAGAACATTATATTAAGTCCTGAAGGGAGTCAACTGAGTGATGATCAGAAATACAAGATCATTGCTAATGAGCAAACTGAAGTCAGCCAATAGGGTTATGTTACAGCTAATTCATTCATCCATTCACTCATTTATTAAGTACCTGGGCACTATGAATTAGAAGGCAGACCAAGTGCTGTATAACACAGGTTCAGTAAAAGTGCTATAACAGAGGCTTCAGTAGGCAACTCAAAAATAGAAAGTTCCACCTCTCAGAGAGCTCAGGAAAGACTTATCTGAGACTTCCTAATTATGAGTTTGTCAAATAAGAGAAGAGAAGACCTGTCATACACAGGAAATGACATGTGCAAAAGCCCACTGGCAAAAAGTCTCCTGACCAGTTCTCGAACTTTGGAAACCCTGAGAACCAGAATATAGGATAAATGAAGATAGTAGCACAAGGTAAAACACATTATGCCATGCTAAGAAGTCTTGATTTCATCCTATAAGAAACAACGAGGCACTGAAGAATTTTAAGCAGAAGACAAATGTGACAAGATGTGGATTTAAAAGATGACGCAGTGCAGGTTACAGTAGGAAAAAGAACTATAGGGTAAGGAAAGGGAGTTGGCCCGGAGTAAGACAGACAATTACAAGGCGGTTAACAGCAGTCAGGAGCAGAGATGATGAAGACCTGAATCAAGACAAGTGATGGTGGAAATGGAACAAGGGATAGGGAAACATATCAGGAATGTAAACTCAATGAGATGTAATGATGAAGGGTGTGAAGGAAAAGGAGAAGATCAGGATGATTCCAGGTTTCTGGGTAGCCTGGGGAGTGATGTTGCCATTGACTGAGATCGAAAATATAGGTGAAGGGGCAAACCTGCAAAGCAAAATTATTTTAAATACATACTACTCTGGGTGTGCCACTGAGATTAAGAGAACCTGCCACAAGGAGCAGAGTTGCCCAACACTGCCCACTGCTGCAGTTATGGCTCCTGGGAGAGCATGCTCCTCCTGGGGCTGCCTACTCAAGCCAGCCAGTTCCTGTTCCATATAGGACACCCCTCTAGTGGGCAACTCCTGCTCAAGGATTTTCATCAGCCCACCTGAGACTGACTCAGAATTGTGTTGCAATTGGAGACTCTTCATCCAATCTGTCTTCTCTCTCTCCTCTCACGGGCACTGGACCCACGTTGGGCTCAGAAGACCCTCCTTCCCTATTTCTGTTTCCTCCTTATCCTCCACAAACATTTCCCCAAGTAAATCCCTTACATGCTTAGCCCCATTTTGGCATCTATGTCTTGAAGGCCCTAAACTGACAAGAGGTAGTAAGTAGGATGCCAAGACGTGACAGACTTGAGGGTCATTGTGAGCCAGAATCGTTGAGCCTTGGGCAAGGATGAATCTGCCCCAAGGCTGCAGGTCCTCGGGTGACCCTACTGTTCTATAACAGATTGCTACATGTACTAACAGCTGGAGAGAGGCTGTTGGCATGAGGCAGGCAACATAGGATATTTAGAATAGTTAATGTGGGTAAGGTTTTAGACACTTTAGATTATAATATAGCCTTAGAAACAAATATAGAAGAATTATTAGCACCCACCATAGCCCTAATTTTAATCCGTATATAAATAAGTGACATCCTATAATTCTTGGATCTTCATGCCAGTGTTGAAATACGAGCACTGAGCTATGGGTTTGCTCCATCCTTTCCAAGCACAGGATTCTAAGTATAAAAGAGTTAGGGCAGGAAAAGTCCGTATCCTTCAGTGCTTGAGAACTGAGTGTTCCTCTACTTGGTGATGCCTTTCCAACCAAATGCCACCTGATCTGCTCCAAGGACACATCCTTAATCCCCTTAGCTCTCTGTGTGTGAACACATTTTTAATGCTTTAATTGGCTATATAATTACAGAGTGTGTTTGTTTGTGTTGTAAAACATTGTAATGCTAGTTCCGTCTCAACCTTACCTTGAACTTCTTCCATTTCCTTTGTAATTTGCCAAATTATCTTCTACACAGTTGAAACCAAGAATTGTTACTAATGGTAATGATAATGCTGTAATTTTATTCATAAACCACACAGAAATTGCATCTTCATTCAAATCATCTAAATTTCTCGGTTCTCTAAGTGATCAACTTAAATGGTTAGGTTTGCAAGAATCACTTGGTGAAACTATTTGTGTTTCAGCCAGGTAGGCTGCCAACACTGGGCATACACCCAGCTCTCTTGGCCTAAAGATGTGCTCCCCTAGGTAGAAGCCACCTGGAATGGCCAAAAACAGAAAAACCAGGACTATAGTGTTCAGAAAACATCTACAGTGTGTGCAGATAAGGAGAGAACAAAAGAAATCAAGATAGTTAGATTTGTATTACAACTGCTCTACAAAAATATGGTAATTTTTCTAGTCTGTCAAGAGTGTATGTCTGTACTTTTGATCTCAAGACAATAGGGACAGTTATATTACATAACTCATGCAAAGTCAAGCTTGATATTTAAGACTATATAAAAATGATGGTTCAATGTCAAATAACCACACTGATAGTAGAATTCAAACTTAATCTCCTTACATCCAGAGGTCAAATTACGTTATGTATTTGCCTCTGATTAATAGTTAGAGGAACCATAAACTCAGGCTATAGATGTTTGTATAGCCTAAATTCGCCTTTCATCCAAGTACTAGTAAAAACTTATAGTTTTTAGATAAAACTATTTTTATCTTTCTTACAAGCTTCTTATCTGAAATAAAATTTGCTTAGAAATCACATCAAACATTTAGTGTACCACTCTTGAGAAAAAAAGTATTCCTTATTTGAAGATCAAAAACTCTATACAAGCTTAGCAAGTCTATAAATCTAACACATTGTCAAAAGTATCTTTAACATATCAAGATCATGTTATAGTAATAGACATTAAACATTATTCAAGATGTTTGCAGGCTTGCAAATATAAACCAAGACATAATACACCATTGATAAAAGTCCCAGCTCCCTTTAAGACATTAATGAATATTGCAAAGGTGACACTTTATATTCTATTAGTTATTTGTTTTCTTAGAATTGGTAAGCTACATAAACATAAAATGATTTACCTTCTTGAGCTTCTGAATCCAACAAGTAATGAAATGATGGCTGATGACATATTGATGTTTTCTTCATTATTTCTTGAAAACTAGATAGACAATACATTAAAATATCAAATGGTAATAATTAATTCAAAATGTGAATGCAGTGCTTTTATATTTTCTTAATAAAGTTTAACTTCAAATACAGCAGACAAAATTATATTAAAATATCATACATTAACAAAGTGTGATTTAAGAAAGACCATCTAAACACCATCTAGAACAAATTAAAATGAGAACAAAAGGCTTCTGAGTCAGAAATTTTAAAAAGCTACTATAGAAAGAAAACATATTCTTCACCAGACTACCTCAGTTGTAACAAAGAAAGGCATCATCTTCATATTGATTAGTAAGATCGCAATCCTAAAATTTAAGAGGTGATTAAAACATTGAAAGTTCTCTTGTTACCATCAATGCATCATTAGCACGTATGCAATGTCCAACAGCCTCACTGCCAAATAATCTTTTGAGCAGCCTTAAGGAGTCCATACTATCACAGCCGATATATTTAAAACTGAAGAAACTATTTACGCCTCTCGAATAGAGCAGATTATCTGAATAAATTTAACAGTTATTCAAACTTTGGAAAACAACAATTTGATATTTTACTTCTCAATCTGGGGTAAAATAACTATTGCAGTACCGTGAATTAATATAGCACTCCTTTCTTCCAAGAATCCCAAAGTAGTTTTTACAGCCACCACATTTTCTTCTACAGCATACTTCAGCAAGTTAGAAGACATTATTTTCCCTACAGTTTGCAAATCAGGAAAGCCAAGGTTACATTATGTCATTGAGGCTACACAGCTAAAACGATAGCAAAAGTGGTCACGTGTTTTGCTCCCAATTTAGATCTCTCCCATTAAAGAAAGACGTCTTCATTATACGTGTCTGCCTTAAAGCTGGTATTTAAATGGAAAGCCTGGACATACCAAAAGGAGTTAGCTGAGTTTCTAGAAGGTTAAAACGTATCATCCACAATTTTTGTTTTTGTTGCTGAGACCTCTGGTAGTGACTGAAAAGCTAGCATCACAGCACACAGTTTACTACTGTACACACTGGTAACGCGTCCAAGCAGAAGGGATTAGGATCTGACAGCTGCAGTTCCCATGCCTCTGGTTATACAGCAGTGAGGCTGGAATGCCCGTAACTAAGGGGGCAGAAGGCTAGGAATATCCCATGTGAGTGTCTCGTGAACAGAGCTAAAGGTGAATACAACCCACTCCCGGAAGTGAGCGAAGACTATTTGGAGGAAGTGATCCAGCTTTTAATTGGGATGCCAAGAGTTATTCTAAGACTCCATGGCTATGACATTCTAGGAAATGAAGGCCACATATTTTGCATGTCACCTATCTGCATGGGAACACTGTTTTTAGACTCCAACAACCATACCAGAATGTGTGTAGCATTGCTCTGCACCCAGGAATCAAACTACCATGATTCCTTTTTGTTCAGACTGAATGGGCAGGCTGAGAATATAGATCCACCTGTGCACCTGCCCAAGTGCATGTAGGTGTGCCTCTCAGAGGACATACACATTTCCCACGCCACTGGAAAGGTCCTTGATAGAAAGTTACCGAGTTAACGATACAAGCAATATTGGAAAGTTAAACTTAGGAGCATGACTACAGGTCCATGATGTATACACAGATGAATCAAGGTCACTTTAATGTATTGGAAAGGGCTAGGAGTTGGGAAGTCTGATTTTAGTTATTCCTGCCTATAATTAGATTGTGATTTTAAGCCATTTACTTAGTATGTTTCTTGGTTTCATCATCTATAAAACAAGGATATATCAGAAGGGTGCCTTAGCCTTTGGGAGGCTAAGGCAGGAGGATCACTCAGCCCAGGAAATGGAGGCTGCAGTGAGCCGTGGTCACACCACCAAACTCCTGCCTGGGTAGCAGAGCAAGATCCTGTCTCAAAAAAATATAAATATCTTTTAAAATTGATACAAAAGTCATACAACATATATTTATGGGGTGAATATTATAGGTAAAAACATTCTGGAAAGTTCAAAAACCTCAACAATGCAAACTATTATTCATAGGCAGTTAATTTGGGGCAGAGGATACTCTCTCTTTTGGGCTTTTTTAAAAACAAGAATAAATGATGAGTAAAAACCATTGTCTTTTTTAAGGACTTTTTGGAAAGATCATGCAATCCTCACTGTTAGATCTCATAAGAGGCAGAGTCCCTAAATCAAGCATCTTAACCAACATGATGACAATGATCACTTCAGTTATACTGAACTGTTTAACAAGTACATAGTGACTTCTGCCTCCAGCTATAAGCAGCTTATAGCAAACCTCAGCTTCTATTAAGAATGAGAAAGATTTTTAAACACACACCCTACACAAACATGCCTCTGTTATAAAGTACCAGAGAGCTGTCAAAGCCGCCAAGAATTCCAGGCATTGCTGTTTCTCGAGGAAGCCAAAGAGAGGACCGCATGTAAGGATAACAGCGGAGTGTCAGACAATCTCATAGAACTGTGGAGACAAAAGAAAAGTGTTTGTGGCTGACAAGACAGCCAGAATTGTGGGCCCAAGATCCCAGAAAAAAAGGGACAGAGAAGCCTGACACTTAGCGCCGATCATTCACTCAAAGAATTGACTGATTAAGCTGTTTAGGGCAAGAGGCGAATTTTTGAAGCATTCAGTGGCAAAAGCAGATCCAAGCGCAAAAGAGGAAACATCAGGGCACTCCTGGAAAGCGACTTTCCTGGAATGCGGGGGAAACTAGATGTTGGAGTCTTACAGAAAAAAACTGCAAACCAGCCTTGAATCTACTTGGTCCTGGCTGGCTGCATTGAGGTGATCTTCCCCTCTGCTGCCTGTCAAAATACACTCTGGAATCCTCTCTAGAGGAAGATACAGAGTACCTATCATTTTTCACATAGACTGTCCAACATTCAGTCAAAACTTACCCAAGCATACCAAGAAACAGACAACAGAAATAAACTCATGGGTGACTTGGATATTGGAGTTATTAGACAGACTTCAAATAACTGTGATTAAGATGCTCAAAAACAGATGACAAGGAGAAGCACACCAGAGAACCGGAATCTACAACAATGGGTCAAATTGGAAAAAAAAAAAAAAAAGCGTCAAATAGAGCTGAAAAATAGCAATCAATGAAATAAAATACTCAATATATGGGTTTAACAGCAAGTATAAAGCTAAATAAAATATTAATGAGCTGGAAGATAATCGAAATAAGCTAAATAAGCTTTATACATATATATAAATATAAGCATATTTATTATGTACCTAAATCAGCTCTAGGTACACCAACTTGATGTGAATAATAAAAAATTTGTCCAGCTGCTGATAATTTTAAATGGGCAACCTCTTTCATATAGGTAAAATAGCACCCTGGAATTTTGAGTTAGGAGATTTCGGTTCAGGTGAGAAGTTTTACCTACTACATGGGTGAATTTGGCAAAACTGGTTAATGTCTCTAAACGTGTTTCTCCCCTTGTAAAAGCATTATGTCTTGGTCACAGGGTTAAGAGAAAAAGAAGATATAATATTAAACTGTTATATAAATAGTGTTACAGAACAAGTTTATCATGGTCCTAACCATCCATTTCCCCTTCTTCCTAGACACATAGATGGGGTAGAAATTCCATTTCTGAGCATATCTAGCTGTGGCCGTATGCTCAGTCCAGGTCGACGAAATGAGAGAATAGTGATGTTTCTAGTCACCCTTCACAGGACATTCTGCTTGTCCTGGACTTTTGTTCTTTCACCTTCTGGCAGGATGCAATGCAGATGAAGTAGTCACCCAGAATAGACCCCTCAGGCAAGATAGCACCCTAGGGCTTGGCTGAACACAAGACTGAATGACCTCATGGTGCACAACTGCTTCATCAGCTCAAACTGGCCAGACTGTTGAGTAAGAGAGAAGTAATGTTCTAGCTTATTTGGACCATTGTATATAAGCATCTTTTGTTACAGTGGCTTATCCTTTCCCCCAGCTAATGCAGTGAAAAACAAAGGTAAATATCTACTAAAGGCATCAAATTAAATTTGTTTAACAGCAAGACTGTTATCCTACCTACAACCATATATGCAGAAAACTCCCAGTGACAAGTCATTCTGAGAAATGAGAAAAACCTGAAAAAGTTTTTCTTTCCTCCCCTTGCCTCCAAAAATGTTCTGCTCCAAGTTCCTCCAGAGAAAAGAAGCATGAAGAAACCATTTGAGTTTATTTCTGTGGAAATCACTGTTGACTTTAGAAGGAAGCTGCTAGAGAAGAACGATGGATACAGACGACATATTTGAAATTAGGAAGAAATAATGTGCAAAGAAAAGCAGCTGCTGTAGTTCAAGGACTGGAGAAGTTTGGCTGACAAGTCAACATAAATGAGAGCCTAAAAAACAACACATCTAGGAGTCATTCCAAGACTGCTGGAGGTTATCTATTTGGATTTTGTTTTTATTGGTGAAGATTTTCAATTTGAAGGCTGAAGGGAAAAGTCAGGAAAGATGGAAATACTAAAGATGCCAAAAAGACAGACCTGGGAAGGCAAGTCTGAAGGCAGACGACCCACGCTTAAGTAATTGGTAGCACTCTCCTCCAATCGTTCCTAACTCGAAGCAACTGGGAGCTTGGGAGTTGTTCTTGGGAGAGGTCTCCGCAGGAGCAGTCTTAAAATAACCTTGTCTGTCCACTCCGAACAAACACTGTGTCAACAACAATCAACCTCTGCAGGCCACTCCTAAAGCTGACCCACCTACACCAGTTCAACTCCAGCCCCGAGCCTCCAAATCCATTTACATAGAAGTCAGCTTCTGACAAGTGAAGTCTCCTTTAAAACCCAAACATAATGGTACAGAGGTTCCCATACACTTAATGCTCACAGGTGGAAGGATGGACCCCATTTAGGTTTCCTAATTATTTGCTAAAACCACAGCAAACATATTCAAATATGTTCCAGCAGTGAGGTTCCCTCCTGCTATGCTTTTAAGTGGAACCTGAGGGAAAATGCAAAGCCATGGGCAGCAGAGCTAAACAGTTGTGTAAAACTGCCACTATTGTGGAATAAGAAACATGCACATGTTTCTTCTCAGTTAGGTCTGAATGTCAGAGGGAATGCCTGTTGAGAGTGAGTGCTGATCAATAGAAATCTTTTTCATTTTTTTTACATGTGGCCAGGAAGGATCAGACATTGTCAGATAACAAAAACATGAAAAGACAAAGTCTGTGAACACAAGGTAATATCCAATACTTGAAATATTCAACTAAAAAAGACTAGAAAAGAAAAACATTAAAAAACAAATGTCAAATTTAGCATTTGTATTTTTAAAAACCACACACTAAATACAAAGCCCATGCAAATAGTTAATTTTATTATGCCTTCACAACAAATTCATTACAAAAGGCTGTCATACCTAATTATAGAGGATACATATTTTTTAATTAGGTTTTCCTTTTTCTTCCCCTTGCACGTCTCAGTTTCCCTCTTTTCTTCCCAAACACAGATCTCGCAGTCACAAGGACCATCTTCTCTTTCCCTCCGTCATCATCACTAGAGCTGCTGGTGGTCACACCTCCATTCTTCACAGGAGCTTCCTTCACTGAGTTCTGCGAATCTGAAGCACTGATTTTTGGCTCTTTCACCACTCTTCTCCTTTGTACATTCATTAAACTTTCAGCATCCTCACTTGAAGATCCATCAGATGATTCTGAGAGGCAGGTCTCCCCCAAAAATCCACCACATGTATTCTTTCCTTTAGAATCTGAAAGCCTCTTTCTTTTCAGGCTTGATGACTCCTCCAATGTATTTGTTATGCCTCTCTTCTGGGTTTTTCCTTTTGCCTTATCAAGTATCTCAAATTCTTTCTCCATAGCAACAGAAACTGCTTCTACTTCACTGGCTACTGCTTCTCTCTCTTTCCTTAGCATACATGTCACAGCTCTGTTTAGTCTCTGGCTTTTAATACGTTTAGCATCTTCTTTCTCCTGTTGTGCTAATCTAAAGAAGGAATCAATTCGGAGCTGTGTCTAAAAAATAACAAAAGAATAATAACAATAAATCAGACAAGTTTCTGAACCAAATCAACAAGCTCAACCTTGATCACTCACATTGGATTACTATGTCAGAGAATATTAATTCATTATCTCCCAAAACCCAGTTCTCTCCCAATGAATTACTGATAGTAATTTTCACTCTCTAAATCATACCTAAAGCACTACTTGTACCATCTCTGTCAACTAAGTCTTTAGTCCACATCTCAAATGAGAAATCTCTTCCTAGATATTCAAAGAGTGTTAAATATTTTTCTGTAGCTAAACGTTTCATCTTCCTCAGGGGGAACACAATTTCATGGGGCCTGTGTCTAAGTCCTACTATATCTTTCTTTTAAAAACATTATCGTCATACAATGCCTTTAAGTTCACAGTATATATTAGCAACTGTAAGAAATATTCGTGCCTTTTATTCAGCAACTTCACTTTTAAGAAGGTACTCTTTACAAATAGCTACATATGGGTAAAGCTATATGCCTAATGTTCATCACAGCATTCTATAAAAACTTGAAAATTAAAGGCCCAACAAGTAGACTGAACTAATTATTTAAATCCCTTTCATGACATGTAATCTAGTCATCTGGAATTAAGAAAACTACGTAATACATAGAAGAAAATATGCTAAGTTGGGGGAGGATTAGATATATTAAGTTACACTTAGTATGGTCACAAATAAATGTAGGAAAATTTGTTAACCTAAATGTTAACATCTGTATTAGAGAAGGTAAATAATGAGTAGTTTTAATTCATTTTCTTCATTTTCTAATTTTGGAACAATAAACACATTAAGTTTTAGAATGAAAAAGGAGATAAATATTACAACAAAATTTATCTGAAATTAAGAAGTCACCAGACACTAAGCCAAATAGCTTTGCTTTTCGGTTGGTTTATAATGTTTCCAGTAGACAGTCATCCAAAAAACAAAGAGAAACTCGTAGAAATGTTGTCTCAGTCTTGTTCATGCTTTTCAAAATTATCCAAGCCTAATGAAAACGGGTTTAATTTAAATATATTATCTCAAAAGCTACACTCTCATTTCTGCTAAGTGGTTCATTTGTATGTATGCCTTGTGGGTTGTTTCTAGTGTGAGCGAAAGCTTGCTTTGCGTGAGTCAGAACATACTCACAGATAAAGCAAGAAGTAGGTACCTAGAGGAACTGAAGGTCATACAAAAGGGCTCCTTCCCCATAAAACCCTCTCCTACTGATACACAATAATGACTGAACCTCTACCTTTCAAGATTAATTTATAGAATTTAAAAATATTAGTACTTATAAAAACTTAAATGATCAGAATCGCTTTGGAATGAACACTTCCTTTCGTTAAAAAATGAAAGTAACGCCAAAGGGGTAATGTATTTACTCAGAAACACCTTAGTGTGAAATCAATTATTAGACTGGTTTTTTCAAAGAAAAAAAATGAATATGAAAGGACTCAAAAGTTCAGCCCTAAGAGTGATTATAAGAAATGAAGCCAAAGTCTAATTTTTCTTTTTCTATTTTCTTCTCTTCTCTCATCTAAATTATCCTAATTTCAAAATGTCTGCTTTATGTCCTAAAATAAAAGAGTTAACTGGTCTTTAACAGCTGTCAACTACAGCCTACTCTTCATCCTGAACTTAGGAGAAGGATCCACCGTGATTACCTGCTGGGCATTGAGTTGCTTTAATACAGGAAACAGAGATTCATCTGTCTTCGTTCTGTTCCAGCCGAAATACCGCTGACAAAATATGCAGACAGTTAAGACTTATAAATATTTTGAAACATATTTAAACAAGTGATAAATAAAAAGGTCCAAAGAACCCATTTTTGATTCCATTCCCCATATCTCCTAAGATTTTCCTATTTATAAAGATTAGAGTGCTAAAAGAAAGTAGTAACAAAATAAATTACTCCGGCATAATCATCTGGCACTACGTTCTTTTCAATTCTTTAAAATAAAACATACGTAGCTCTCACTATAGGATATCAAAGACTTGTGACTATGAAAAAAGGTTAACTGGAATAAAAACAAGTTTCAGATATCCTACCTATTTCTTTGAGAGAAAAAATAAAATGTAGTTGGATTAATTCTAGTGCAAGTTTTGAAACATCTGTCCAAATGATTACTTAAATATACACGGAGAGGAAAACCAGTAATAAAAAGGACAAGATTAGTCATCTTTCTTTCTTTCAGAATCAATAATATTTAAGTATGTAGTTGTATCTGTGAATGCTTATCACTGCTTATTCAAACTAAGATCCCCTTTAAAACTAAAAAGAGGGGCCAGATGCAGTGGCTGGCGCTACTTAGGAGGCTGAGGCAGAAGGATCCTTTGAGCCCAGGAAGTGGTGGCTGCAGTGAGCTATGACTGCACCACTGCACCCCAGGCTGGGTGACAGAGTGATACACTGTTCCTTTAAAACAAACAAACAAACAAAAAACAACAACTAAGGAGAGGGAAAAAGGAGTGAAAAGGAGAACGGGATACTAAGAATATGGGATTAACGGGATATTAAGAAAAAATGATCCAAGTTTCTCTTCTGTAAGTTTTAAACCAAACACATATTTCACAAGGTGTTTCCTTCTCTTTTAAGAAGTAAAGGATATTCTCTAATTTTGTCGAGATCAGGTTTCCCCCACAGAAAGGATCCCTTCGAGTCATCCACCACGGGTTTGAGGTAGGCCTCGGCAACAGCTGGGTTAGGAAAGCCAGGGGTGAGCTGCAATGTCCGTAATTTTTTTTTCACTTTGGTGTCATGAGGATTAGGTCTTATCTTTGGATTTTTTTGAGCTTCATGCCACCATTCTCTGTAAAGGAAACAATTACTTACACAGCAATAGGACATTACAGTTCATGCCCTATGGATGAAGAACTAAACTTAGAACATGTAAACTCAAGTTCTAACTCAAATTATATGATATATAGAATATTTTATTAATTTCAGTATGATTAGCCACAATGTGTAATGATGGCAAACATTTATGGAAGGCTTCCTCTGTGCTTGGCACTGTGTTAAATATTTCACATACCCAATCATGACACAAGCCATGTCCTATCGTTACCCTCACCTCACAGAGGAGGAAATTGAACTCAAAAAGAAGTAACAGGCTCCAGATTTCATAGCTGGAATTGGTACAGTCTTCCTCTAGAGCCCACACTCATAATTATACCACAAAAGTTACAACTTCTCTGGGTTTCTTTCTCAGCAGTAAAATGGAAGTAATGTATCTGTGTTATCTACCTCAAATCAAATACAATAATGGATCGAAGAACACTTAATAAAATGTAAATATGCCAAGAAAATGTTAAATTTTAAAAACAGATATATATATTTAATAAAATATTTAATAAAATGTGAATATTTAATAAAATGCAAATATGCCAAGAAAATGTCAAACTTTAAAAACATATATATCTGTATATATTTTATATATGTATATAAAACAGATAAATATATATAAAAACAGAGATAATATAACTCTAAAGTACGATTCCAGTTTTGGAAAAAACACACATATGAGAAAAGTAAACAGATATTTAAAATAAATAACAGTAACAGCTATTACTTGGCTGTGTGCTAGGCAATATTCTACACAAGAACACAGCCATTCATTTTCTTCTTTATATTTTATTCATTTTTCATTGTTTTCCATTGTAAGCCTAAATCGGCGGGATAAAGGCAGTAATGCACTCTTGGAGCATCCTGCCATCACGAAGGTGGTCCATGTGGCCTCCTCTTGAGCAGGGTGGCCGTGGCTGACCAGTGTGACCCGAGCTGTGCCGGGCCTAGGGGAGGCCCTCGCCACTTCCTGTCCCCTGGACCTCCTGCTCTTGGCTCCAACACGCTGTGAGGAAGCCAAGCTCACAAAGTGTCCATCCAGGTGGAGGGGCCCCGAGGCTGACACCACCACCTCATCAGCCCTGCGAGCCATCTGAAGGGGTCCTAGCCCAGCTGAGCTGTCCTAGCCGACATGGAACAGAGACAAGACACCCCCACGAGGCCTGAGCCAGCTTCAGAGGCACGAGCAAAATCAGCGACTACTGCTGTGTGAAGCCACTAAGGCTGAAGGTAGTTTGTAACGTGGTGACAGTTGACCAGAAACATTTATACAATTAGGAAAAAATAAATGCCATCAAAGTTACTAACATAATCCTCACCAATCCATGTACTCAATGGAACCTGAAAAAACGCCCGC